GAAGTTACTGTAACCCCACATGGAAGTCTAAACTCATCACGTGGGGTGATATCCGAAATAGATCTGATGTCAGAAGACGAATCAGATATCCAAATTGGTTTGTCAGACCAAGGTGTCACTGCAGTCCGACGCATTTCCATTCGTCGAGATGGCAAGTTGATACCAACAAAACACCTTATATTGACATTTAACAAACCAACCTTGCCATCTTCTGTTACGGCAGGATATCTCCGTTGCCCACTACGCCCATACATTCCAAACCCGCTGCGTTGCTTTAGATGTCAGCGGTTTGGACACTCACAGACATCATGTAGAGGAAAAAAAGCATGCGCACAGTGTGGAAATGAAGATCACGAGAGTACTGAATGTAAAAGTACCCCATGCTGTGTAAACTGCAAAGAGGCCCATCCTGCCTACTCTCGGAAATGTCCCACGTGGCAAAAAGAGAAAGAGATTCAGCGGGTAAAGACGGTGAATAATATACCTTACCCAGATGCACGACGCATGGTCACTTCAAATGCACCAGTGAAACAGAAGACATTTGCTGCTGCTCTGAAATCCACAAAGACATGTGGAGTTCAGACAGACATTTCTGTTTCACCAAATGAATCTTTAACTCGCCACGAAAAATGTTTGCTTATACCAACTACCCAAACTGCAGAAAAGGAGAGCAAGAAGACCAAAACACCCCTACCTAAAACAGGGGTAATAACTAGAAACGTGGGTTCGAAGAAGGCTGCTAAGAACCCGCTCAATAAACAAAAATTAAAAGCAGCCATCTCCAAATCTAAGAGATCAGAGGCTCAGTCTATGAGTGAGTTCTCTGACTTTTCTGAGGAAAAGACTAATAAGGAAGTGACACCACCAACTTCACCTCCGAAAGGCAAATCAGCCGTAAAACTGAAGAGGGATACCTTCACAAAGAATGCTGCCTCAAACACATAATGGGTTATAAAATAATCCAATGGAACTGTCGTGGTTTCCGCAACAACTTCTCTGACATTAAACACTTGACATCATCTACCTCATCTCTCTGCGTGGCACTCCAGGAAACCCATCTGAAACCTGGAGAAAGANGCTCCGTTTGAGTCAATCGGCTGGTCGTTGAGTCATTCTTGACCTCGGCTTGGAGTCAACTGATCAATGCAGACCGGGTGGACACGTCAGACAAGATGTGCTCTTCTTGACTGCATTGTGAGGGTATAGCTGCTGGGAAACCCTGGTGTGATGGTCTATGGGAGTCTCGCATGTGACGGCATCCCCTTGTTGGGCCCCATGGTGGGTGGGGTCACTAGGAGTCGAATATTTATATATAATTATGGATTCAAAAAACCCAAAACGATCAGATACACCAGCAACGACAAATGAAAAGACATCCAGTCAGCCATCCTACTTGATAGTACATGCTACTGGAGAAAAACCTCTTTCGAAATGCTCTCCATTTCTCATTCAAAAATTATTTGAATCAACTGTTGGACACTTGAAAAAGATCCAGAAATTGAGGTCGGGACCTGCTGATAGAAACAGCCTCACCTCAACAATCAGTAAAACTATTGGCAACAAAGACAATGGGAAGACATGGAAGTTACTGTAACCCCACATGGAAGTCTAAACTCATCACGTGGGGTGATATCCGAAATAGATCTGATGTCAGAAGACGAATCAGATATCCAAATTGGTTTGTCAGACCAAGGTGTCACTGCAGTCCGACGCATTTCCATTCGTCGAGATGGCAAGTTGATACCAACAAAACACCTTATATTGACATTTAACAAANCTTCGAGTGGGTACCTCCGGTGAACATATTGAAAAAGGGGATACCTTGCACCTTGTCAGTTCGTTTTGTCTCAACAACATATAGGATTGTCTATTCATAGATAAGGCAATAATTGGGTATTCTGTCTTGAAATAGACAAACGCCTTTAACGAAGACATATAAGTGGGTAATTTGATGATCTCGTACGTATCAAAATATCCACTTGGAGTGATTAATGGTAGTTTTGCAAAAATTCTTAATTTTCCTGGAAGGGCTATGGCTATGGTCGAGATCCATTGATAGTATTTAAAAAGAGTATCATCTCGTATGGGCTCTATCATGGAGTATCCCTCGGGAAGCTGTAATTGTATTTCCTTCAAGGTATGCATTAATATCTCTCGGGATATAAAGTAAGTGCTTAATTTTCCTTGTTCCAAGATTTCTACGGCCTCCCGTATTTTTATGAGCTGCAAATAAAATTCTTGCATGGCAAATTCCAAGGTTCTTATTGCTACTTCGAATGCCAAGTTAACCCGATACCTTCTGATAAGTTCGTCGAATGCTTTCTGATGGTGCATAAGTATGTTTATTTGCTGCCGGTTGAATTTACTAATTCTCAAGGTATCATTTATTACTGTTGCCTGGGATCAAAATAAGTGAATTATCCCTTCGTTCACCTGATTTAGGTGCGTAATCTCTGTATTCAACTTCACTATATCTTCCGAAGTGGCAGTTCCAAATAAAAATTTTAGGATTTTACCCCCTATATCTATTAATCCTCTCTTCTTCCTATTATTCTTGGGGAGAGTTATGAGGGCTTTTAGATTTTGATACTCCTTTTTATATTTAAAGAAGGTTGCCTGAAGCAAATCGAATCCTTGAGTGGGTAATATCCATTGCGTATTTCCTCTTCCCCTTTTTACTGGTTTCTCTCCTCGCTGTCTAATCATATTATATAGATATGATAAAGACTGTGACAAAAATAAAACCTGGCGCTCAAATTGATCGAAGTCAATATCATTAACCACAGTCCAATGACTGGAGGTCATCAAGAAGTTTCCCTGATGAATGAATATAACTCCTTTATTGAAGCTGTTGAATGGTTCCGACAAATTTGAGTGAAGAAGGTATAATATACCAAGGACGTATTTGAACTTTAAGCAATTCATCTCAAATTTTAATACTCGTTATCTTATGCCGTGGCTCCTTTTTATCTACTCACTTCCTTTGCCTTTCTAAAAAAAAAATTGAAAAAGTATTTATAGATGTTAAGAAGTAAAATGCCTTACCTATTTACTTTGCCTCCTTGGGCCTAAAATTATCGTTCTCTCAAAGAATGCAGCGCTTATTTTCAGGCCCATTGGAAGCCTATTCCATTGATAATGCCCATCAGGTGTAGAAAAAGCAGTTTTTTCCTTATCACATACACCTAACTGCCAAAAACCTGAGATCGTATCCATCGTCGAGAAATATTTCGCCTTTCCCATCAAGCTAAGGGATTCTTGCACTAAGGGAAGAGGATATGGATCTACTTTAGTAATTTTATTTAATTTACGGTAATCTATAACTAATCTGACTCCTCCGTCTCTTTTGTTTACCAATAATGCAGGAGAACTCCAAGGAGAAGTTGAATGTTCGATAATATCATGTTCCAGTAAATTGTCAACAATCTCATTTAGTTTTTCTCTTTGCGCATATGGGATTCTATAAGGAGGTGAATAAATGGGTGAAGCGTCCCCAGTATTAATTTCATGCTCTACTATATTGCAATATCCCAAATCATAATCATTTAACGCAAAAATGTGTTTGTATTTATATAATAAATCTAATAGTTCTTTCTTCTCTTTCTTTCCTATTCCATTCCATTCAAATAGTTGACCAAATTCAGCCTTAGATAGTTTTGCTGTAGCCCCTTCTTTTTTTTGCATTATCTGTTCATCCTCAATTGCTTTTAAGAACGTTCCTACTTTAGTACCTTTATCTAGTCTAATCATTTTTCGAGTAGTGTTACAGAGTCGGACAGGCACTTGTCCCTTCTTATTGGGTGAAACTAAAACGTTAGCCCCATAAACTCCTTTCTGTGGGAAGGTAATAGGTTCTATAACACCTATGCCGCTGTTACGCTTAATACTTTTAATCGTAGCGGTTATCATGCTTTCAGCTAAAGGTGGAAGATAACATGTTTCCAAAATTGTAACTTCCCTTTCCATGTCTGGCTCTACTCTTATACGTTTTTCTGAAATTTCTGTTATTTCGTCTTTTCCTCTCTTTTTAGAGGGTCGCATTTCCTGCTCTAGTTCTTTTATAGGCATATTTTGGCTGTATATATATTTGGAGGGATCGATGAAGGGAATATTAGTTCGCGGTGGGATAGTTAAATATCCCTTTTGAAAGTCAATATTAAATCCTTTTTCTAACATCATATCTTGTCCAATTATTCCATCACAAGGATATGTGACATCAGTATTTACTATACAACACGCAAATACGAAACGTAAGTTGCCAATTTGAAAAGTGGGACTTAAGACTCCATACATGTAAATACGATGTCCCGTAGCACTTCTAAGATCCGTTTCGTTGTTATGTTCTATCTCCACTTTACTTTCTATTTTTTTAACGAACTCTTGGGCTAAAAGAGATACCTTTGCGCCTGTATCGATTTGCATAATTGCAGGAACTCCTTGTATGAGACATTTAAAAGTTGCTTCTTTAGGTACTTTTCTAATTTCACTCCTCTCTTTCTCCAAACGCGTTTTTGTCCTTATATTTAAGTTTAAGTTACCTTGCTTTTTTCTATATGGCATATTTTGCCTATATGGACGTTGATAACGTCGCAGTCCTCCTACACTTCGTATATTCCCTCTAAACCGGCCATCAGGCTGCTGCTGCCTGAATTTGACTTGGTTTCTATCGCTATCTTTATTATTCCGTACATCGGGTCTGTTAGGTGAGCGATTTCTCATAGGGTTCTGTCGCTCCTCTCTATGTATATTAGGCTTAGGTTTGAAACGATAATTTGGATTGACAAAACCTTGCGGTCTATTCCTTAAACCTTGTGTATTCCTATAGCCGCGTCGAAAATTAATATTCGGTATTCTATCTCGTCTATTTTCCGGATTTCTCGTTTGGGCTTGGGGTAGCTGTTTCTTAATATCTGCTACTTGTAAGGTTAACTTTTCCAATGCGTTTTCTAGAGTTTTCCAATTATCCTGTTTCTCCCTTTCCGGATTCACAACTTCCGTAACGGCTCTTAAAATTCCGTGTTGCGGTGCTACAAGAGATTCTATTGTCTCTTCACTAATAGCTGCCCTTAGAGCTTCATCAAAATTTTTGGGTTCTTTAGACATGACGCGCTGCCGCAATCGCATATCTAGACCGTTACAAAACTGCACTTTTAATCGTTCATCCAACTCTCTATCCTGAACTCTCTTAATTATTGCCGCTTCTGCCTCATCTGCTCCTACTTGTTCGATCTCCATTTCACTTGCTAGCGATTGGAGTTGTACAGCGTATGACTGAACATCTTTGCCTCGCTGTTGAACACAAGCGTAAAATCTATTTAATTTTAATGCGAAAAGAACTCGTTCAAATCTCTCAATCATCACCTTCTTAAAGGTATCAAAATCCTCAACCTCTTTTATTCGTCTATCCTTTCTAACAAATTCTTTTGCTATTCCTGTTAGCTTAAGCTTCGCCACTGCAAGCATCTGTGCCTTAGACCAAGCTGCAACCCTGGTCACATCGGCAAGAGAATCGAAAAACTCGGTGACCTTCGTTCCCGCAGGATCACCCGAAAATGTTGGTAACAATGGAATCATGCCGCCTAAACCTCCTAAAGTTATAGGATTACCGGCTAGAGTTGCACGCGGCGGTTCACCACCTTCCGCCATTGTTCTTATTTATTATTATTAACTAAAAATTAACTTAAGAGTAAATGATCTCTCCTATACCACCGATAGATCTCATCAAAGACTCCTTTTGAAATATCTCAAATTCATAGACTCCACACCTGGGTCACCAATTTAGGAGTATCAAAGACCTCGCTCCTAAAAAACCAATATGTGAGTTTTTCGGTCCAATTATGTGAGTACTTGGGAAGGTTTTGCATTCGAAAAACCCCACTCCTGAAAAACCAATATGTGAGTAGCAGGGGGTCACCGGGTCAAACCCTAATGACCGCTTAATCTGCACGGGTCGGGAAGACCCGCTCTCGGTTGTCGGATGGCTTGTTTTGTTGGATGACACCAATATGTGCAAACCGAGGGGATAGGATAAGAGTTTCTCCCACTCCTTTTGCCCTCCTATAGCCACT